TTTTAAAAACTATACCTTTCTGTCTGTAGCAGTTCAGCAGACAATAGTTTATAGATAAAATATATGTATATTAAAAATAAATAAGATAGGCTATACTTAGTTTTCTATTTCTAAAGAATCCTATAATATTACAAAAGAGAATTTAAAAAAGAGGAGAGTCTGGATTTAAGGTAAACAGTAAACAGATCTAATGTTAACTTGGAGAAATTTACAGCCTTTTTTATATTTTTAGAGCTAATTGCTAATTGCTAAGCATAATCGCTAATCATTAATTGTGACAGATTAAAATGAAATCTGATCAAAACGAAATAGTGACTTTTTTTTTTACATTATATATTTTATATTGTGTAACTGTTACTTTTATAATAATCCAATTTATTTATATATTTTGTATTATAAAATTAATAGTAAATTAAATTTATATATATTATACTATAAATTTTAGAGTACAAATATTTTTTATATTAAATTTTAGCAAATCACGTGTAAAAATAGGCACTTTAATTGCACTAATAATATGTAAAACTTACCCGAAGTACCTTATTCTAATCTATAAATCTTTCCTGAATACAATCAGAAATGTTTTATTACTTTAAAATTATATTACTAATATTCTAATTGTATCTGGGAAGAGATTTAAAATTAGAATAGCTTGAATTTAAAAAAAGCATTTTTATTATATATGCATTATATACATTACATCCTTATTGAGTTTGTATACTACTTTAATCATCTAATTATAAGATTTCTAATAATGATATTTAATTTTTTTTTTAATGACGAAGCTTTTTTAAATTTTTAGCAGGCAAATTTTTTATTTTACTATCTACTTCAACCCGAACTGTCCTATTATTATTACACATACTAATTACTTTCCAGTAGCATTGCTAGTTTGCTCTAATTTTCGTTTACGTGTTTTTTGGTTATTATCATGGTCATAAGCAATTGTAATCTTATCTTCTGATTCAAAAGCCAATTTTTTTCAATGAACATTTCCACGAATCACTATTTTATTTGTATAATTTGCTGCATTTTGCTCAATTTTTTTATGAACACATTTAACTTGCATCACATGGACCACATAGATAGCTTGGTTGTTGTTAATATCTTGAATAGCTATTGTTTCCACAGGTGTATTATAAACTCCACGCATTTTAAATTCAAAAAATGCTTCATAAGGTGATTTTTGATGTGCTTCATATGGCGCTTTATTATAAGCAATAACAAATAAGGAAAGAACATCAACCAATCTATAGTTTTGAATTCCAGATACTTCATCCTATAACATCTTAATCAAATGCCGGCCAAGTATTTGGTTAAATCTCTCAATTTTTCCTTGGCTTTGGGGATGGTGGGCACGACCATGAACAAGCTGTATTTTGAACACTTCACAGGTATGTTTTAAAGCACTTGTTATAAACTCAGACCCATTATCAGACTGGAGTTTATTAGGTGGACCAAAGGTTGTAAAAATCTTTACTAACTCATTATAAATTGTATTGCCTTCTTTATCCTTAATTGGAACTGCCTATGCATAACTGAGTATACATCTATTACAGTAAGAACATAACAACATCCATCATTATGCTCCACATATGCAAATAAGTCAACCAAATCAATTTGTAGGTGTTCTAAATGACCAGTTGCTACAACAGAAGTTAAGTCTGACTTTTCTTTAATACTGGTATTTCGGAAGCAGGTTAAGCAATTAGTTAATATTTTTGAACTTCATCTTGGTTAATACCAATATGTTGTTCATAAATCATTCTGTAGGTTTTGAGATAATCAAAATGACCGGATTCATCGTGAAACCTTTAAAAAGTATTTCTCTTAGCACTGTATTATAGGTTGAAACAACTCTTTTTTTTACTGGTACTGAATTCTCATCCTTTAACAGTTGATCAAAAAAAAGGTATCCACTTTGATTATCATAAACAAAATTTTTACAACGGCGTTGAAAATTTGATTTTTTTGTTGGGTTATTATATTTTTCTGAATAGGTGCCATGGCGTATATAGTTAACTATATCATTAAAGTCTTTAGGGGTATCAGGAATTTTAGGAAGTTTTACAATCTTAGCTTACTACAAAGTAAACAACTAACTAAAAACTTAAACTACTCATTTCAATTAAAGGAGCTTATTTATAATTTCAATTTAAGGGGCTAATTTACTATTACTAGTGGTACTCGGGTTATCACATGTAAGTTAAACCGGTTTGTCCCGATTCTTGACGCGTACAAAAAAAAATTGTTTTTTTTTTTTAAATGCACTGATCTTTTTGTACTACTCTGTATAGCTATAAATATGATTGTTTTTCTTGACTTTTTTTTTTTTTTTTAACTTA